AGCTCCTTGTTCCGGTACCTGTGCTGCCAGAGTATCCACATCATTTTATTAAATGTAATGCTCTTACACTTCCTATTGCTTTTGTTATCTTTATTTGAAGATATTACCCCATGTTTTCGAATTTTAGACATGGCAGAAAAAATCTGTATTTAAGTTTTCCAAACACATCCTAATTTTAACTGCTTCTATTATGTTCTCCATCCCTCTTTTCTTTTCAAATGAGAAAAGACCTAGGGTGACTAACCTGTCCTCATACTTCTCACCCCTAATTTCTGGAATTGATCTCGTAACCATTGGAATTCTTTTAACTGATTTATTTTTTGCAATGGGGATACCAAAACCAAATGCAGTAGTCAAGATTTGGTCTTATTGATATGATTTGTAATTCTTTCTCAAGGTGATTTTGATTTATCATTCTTTGATTTTTTTAAGTGGGGTTTAATGGTTACATTTTTCCTTCTTGTATAATCACATGCATCAGGTATTCAACTACAGGGGCCTGTTTTAAAGTAGCTTCAAATGTTTTATCCAGGCAGAATTCAAATTGTTATATCTTCTATTACAATGAAACATCTCAAAGCACTGTATAATTATTTATGCATGCAGTGGTTCCAAGGTCAGTATCAAGCCAACCCTCTGTGGCGGTCTTGGTAATCCAGTTCCTGAACCAGGCTGATCCACAGTACTCTAGGGCACTGCTGATGATAGCCCAGCCAGGCTAAGTCATCAGTAGGACCATGAAAGGGCAGACCAGTCACTGGGGGCAGTGATTCTTCCCACTCAGCACATGTTAACCCTGCTAGCCAAAGCCCGAGAGATTAGGGTGGTCCGAGCTGGACCAGCAGCAGGAAAGTTTGCCAGATTGTGCTTTCATTGACATGCAGTTTTTAGCTGGTTGGACTCCAGAAATACCCCCAACGTACACTCTGGGATCCCCAAACCTTGGCTCTTCCCAACCTGTGTATAATATATTCCTGAATTAAGTAAGATTGACCATCTAGGGAGAGTGTGCATTTCATTACAATTAATATTCCTGGAATTTCCACATATTGCAGGGAACTCTGCTTTGGTTCAGATACTTTGAAGGAAGGGTTGGGTTTCCGCATGTGTCAGACACACTATTGACCCAAAACAATGCATGACGTGACCTTTTTATAGGCAAACAGCCATTTACAATTATTGCTAACACCTCAGGAACTGAACTGTCTATAAATGTATGACCTTGATATAGGAACAAATTTGCTGGTAATAAATTGACAAGCTGGATAGGGACAATGTTTCCTCCTAGTAAAAAAGTTCAAAACATGGGGACATCATTTTAAAATTAGAGGTTAGATTAGAGCTAAAATGGTTAGAAGTAAAATCAAAAAAACATTTATTTACATGGAAGATTGTGAGAATATTATTGCATTACATCAACAACTTGCATTTATATAGCACCTTCCATGCCGGGCGGCCTCTTAGAGCGCTTACCTCTGCATTACCCCAAAAGCAGTAGATGGGTAATGGATTATGATGTTTAAAATTGAGATAAATTAGGAATTAAGGGCATCAATGGATCTGGGGGAAAAAAATGGAATTAAAAGATCAATCTAATAAAAAGGTGGAACATGCTTGATGGGTCAAATAGCTCAAACTATAGTAATCCCTTTTCAAATACATATTGTTTTGGCTTTAAGTAATATTGTTTAATTTGATTGATCTCATGTATAATCTTTAAATTGCATATTCTAATATCTTAGTAACTAAGATCCTATTATCTTCCGAGTTTTATTTTAGAGCACCTCTAACTCAGCTAGTCTTGGAATTTTAATACCAAAATCAATTGAAATCACATAGCTGTTTGTGTAAAAGAATAAATTATGAATAATCCTTTTTAAGGTAAGGCAGTATGACATCTAATTAGCCTTACTTTCCTGTAGAATATTAGTAATGTATAATAATAATAATCCTTGCATTTGATATAGCGCCTTATCACATCTTCAAGACGTCTCAAAATGCTTCACAGAATATACTGTAAAGTGAATTGACTGTATATTTTGTGGGCGAAACGCAGCTGCCAATTGCACACAGTAATATCCCACAAACAATCGTGGATTGAGTAACCAAATTATTATTATTTTGGTTCTTTTGAAGAGGTTGTTACTCCCGGGAAAGCGATCCGCCAATCGACTAACATCCGGGTTCCTACATACTGCCAGGTGAACAGAGGCGTGTGGAGTAAGGAAACTTACCCAATGTTTCACCCTGCCCGGGAATTAAACCCAGGTCCACTCGCTTGCCAGACAAGTCCTCCAACCACTGAGCTACAGGACTCCACAAATGCGGCCATGATTTAAAAAATTATTTGGGTATACTTCTGCGTAGTTTAGAAATGCAAATATTCTCAGTCAACTTTGCATCAATAATAAAAAGTTGTTACACAATCTGTTGTTGAATCACATTCTTTTGTTCTACATGTTTTGTGCGATTATTCAATTCTATTTGATCAAGTAGCAGGCACTCTGGAGCATGCACTCTGGAGTATTTAAATGAATAAATATACAGCATTCAGTGGTTGATTAATTTATCAGTCTATCCCCAGTGTGTGGACCTTAAAGCAAGGAGTACAATTAATTAGTGCCTTTGTTCCTGCCATTTCTGGCTATTATTGAGTTAGAGATTAACAATTCAGTTTCTTTATGACCATGTCAATGTCTTGGATTTAGTATATAGTATGTAAACCTAGAAATGGTGTGCTTGATTATGGCACACTATATAGTTAGAATTTAAGTAGGTGAATATGAATTATTTTGATGCATTTTGATTAAACATTGGGTTACTTCACACCTCTCCTAGACATTACCTTACTCGAAGGGCGGTATATAAATGCAAGTTGTTGTACTTAACCACTATTCATCACCACCAGCTTTCTTTGGTCTGAATAGTTTTTATTTTGCAAGATAATATTAAACATTCAATATTTAGAAGCCTTGGTCACAGATGTTCGTCAGATGTATTCTTAAAACTGAGGTGCCCACTGAATAATTTAATGGAATAATTTATCATCATTGAATTATTTCTGAGTTACCATATTCAGAACATTTTGACCTCGCTCCCTTTAGTCCGTTACTAATCCACATCCATGGCATCCAATGGCATCTGTTGTAGAGAAATTTCTCATGCTTGACAAAGCCATTTTGTAAGATTAGGTACATTTTGTCCCATGATTTCTTGATTGGGATGTTACTTCCTCAAAATAAGTTGGAGGTTGATCAGTTCAGATTTATCCCCTTCCAGATGAAACTCCATATGTCGACAAGACATGCTCCCCTGCTCAGCACCTAACCTCAGATGCTGACAGCGTCCATCTGTGTGGATGCACACTCCATCTTGTGGAAACGTTGTGGAACTTCGGAGTCTTGCTGGACTCCCAAATGTTCTTTAATTCCCACATCCGTACTCTGACCTGCTCAGCTTTCTGCCACTCCAAAACATTGTCCATCTTCACTACTATCTCTCCCGTCGAGCTGCCGAGACCCACAGGCATGCATTTATCATGTCCAGCTTGACTAAGCCGATACTCTGCTCACTGGACTCTCCAGATCTTCCCTACACGAACTGCGGACTATCTGGAATTCTGCACCGTGTGTCCTCTCCTACTCCAAGAGCCTATCAATTGTATCCTAGCTTGGCTTCATTGGCTCACCATACTCAGCAGATCGAGTTCAAGATTCTCTGTTCTCTCCACAATTTAACTCCCTCCACAGTCTTATCCTATCCTACCTCTGCGACCTCCTCAAGCTCCATTTACCCCTGTGCTGCCTTCGCTCAGCCCGCTTCATGTCCCAAGCCCTATTTGCCCACCATCAGTCTCTTGTCACCTTTCTTGAACATTGGAACCATATTTACTTTTTCCCAGTCTGAGATCCCCAAAGGTTTGGCCATTTTCAATGGTTTAACAGGTCTGTTGTGCATTTCGAAACATCTTATACTAGATACGCTAAAATACCTTCTGCTAGAAAGGAAAAAAACAGAATTCTGACTTCTGATTGATATCCAGAGACCTCTGCTGCAAACTGAATGTGTGTGGGTGTTTGATGAGGATAGGATCAGGCTAAACAATGATGCCCCATGGTTTCAATAGTCTTTCAGTGATTACTGTTTCACTTCTCTCATGAAAAATTGCCATTTGTGCAAGTTACTGACTGATTCATGGCTGGCTTCTGTGGCACACTGCCAATATGTGAATCGTTGTTTTCAGGAAAGAAGAGAAGAAATTTGGAAAGTACAAATCCCAAAAAGTGATTTATGGAGAACATCTAGGTTAATACTATTAAATGTTTTCCTCACATTTCCTGATATTTGACAACAGGATTGGAATTTATTTTTTTCTTAGTCGTGATTTCTTCCCCTGCCCCAATAGTGTATTGATACCAGAATACTAAATGATCCTGGTAATAGGATATAAGGTCCAGGTTTGAATAAACTAAATTCCTCATTTTTTTGTGCTTTATTGTTTTCTATAGTGTATTGTAGATTCCTGAGCTTTAGTATCATGACTGAAACAGGAATTTGTCAGCAATTTTCCCATTACTAAAGTTGGATGCAAAGAATTAAATTAACTAATTTTCCTTTTTGCTCGTTTTCTTGTTTCTTAAAGGACATTTCTCTGGTGTTTTTAGTTTTCTTTCTCAATTATGATGGCTGCCTGCATTCTATGTGCATATTTAATATGACATTGGAGAATGAATTGTATCTATAAGTTAAAGTATTTTATTAAATTCTAAGAAAAATCTAGAATTGGGTACTATCCTGTAGTGTACCTTTTCAGTTGGTAAAACTAAGGAAGCCCAGAATTCCATTGATATAGTGGTGCTTCCTTTTGCAAAATGAGGAGACTGTACTTTTACTTGCTAAAAGTGGGAAGGATGATATTCTAATATACAAAATATTAATTTCAAAAACAATTTCATGTTTATAGCAACAAATATTTAATACCATTTACCATTGTTTTACAGGTAAAAATGCATGTTCTATACATAGTGACACAAAGTATCTGCAACAAATGGATCAAACTGATTATACCTGCCTTTGCAAAATGAAATCTTCGGAATTGTTGTGCGCAATCAGCAAAGGGATTTTGCTAAGAACAAGAAAATATTCTCAACATTCCAAGGTAATCGATCTATTGTTTGTCTCGCAGAATAATGTGGTAAAGCAGCAATATAATCTAGTTCATCTAACATCTTAAATTTGGAGTGGAAAGGGAAATGCAATATGTAGAGGGCCTCTTGGTTGGTAATGTGACTTTCAATAGTGTTTTATACAACTAAAATTTGCACTTTATTTTGGTCGGATACAACTATTCACATTGGAGGTCTTAACAATAAACCATCTGTGTTAGAGATCTTACCTATGGGTCAGTTATTTAATTTATTCTGCAATTATGCAGATACCAGAAAGCTCTTTTATCAGATATTAATAAAACATCTGAACTCAAGGGGGAGTATACCACTCTGTGTTATTCCTTTGAGCAAATTGTATTCTACAAATCCCTCGATGAGCCAAGAGCTGAGATGGTTGGCAGAAGGCTCACTTCAATGAAGCTGAATGATTTGGGTCCCTTGAGGGGTGAGGATAAGGAATCATGGTTGGTAATCTACTTGGTAATGACCAACATAAAAAGTATTTCCATGGGTACATAATAGATTGAAGCAATCGGTGGTGGTGTAGTTGGGGTGGGGGNAGATTCCTAATAGACTTCTTTACAGAGGTCTATAAAAGGCTAAATGGATAAGGTGTGTAAATCCAGGACAATATTTTCAGATATGCCAAACCAGCAGAGTAAGATGTCACAGGTTAATGGTTGTGAAGAGCAGTTATAGGATTTATTTTACGTAGCAGGTAATCCATGTTTTAAGATTAAAAAGCTGCAGTATACACAAGGAAATATTATGCATACATTAAATATCTCCATAGTTGAAAAATATATTGTGACTTCATGCTCATCTTACCAGTAGCTCTGAATTATTGATTTGATTGAAAAGTTTCGATTCGGTAATTTTGTGAAGCTTTTTTTTTACAGATGATTTATTTTTATAAAGTTGGAAAATGTGAAGTTTTCATTGTTAATTTTGATCCACTGCAGATCTGTATTAGGAATGCCTTTGAAGCTTCATGATTGTCTCATTAAGCTCTTTGATATTTGCTCAATCCTCCATTCACTTGAGCATAAAAAGGATTATGTATTCTTTTATGGAATTAAAGCTAACAGGAAAAAAGTGCAAGAAAAAAAATCAGTGATTTTAGACAGCACCACAATAGATTTTTGGAAATTCTAATTTACAGAATTGATTATGTTGGGGATGGGAACATAATATAAATTTACAGTTTTATAGCAACTTTCACACTAGTAGTCTTCTCAAAGCACTTGACACTGATGGCTGTGGGTGGGAGCCTAGGCGGGTAGGAAGGGGAAAGATGACTGAAGGCGAAGTCAAACAGGTATGTCTTGAAACTTGAATTAGGTGAGGAAGTGGAAAAGTCAGGAGGGATTCCCAAGATGAGTTTCCAGAGAGCAGGGGCAGAATGGCTGAAAAACCATCAGTCCATGGTGGGTGGGGATAGGGCGGGGAACTTGAAGCAGACTGCACTTGCTGGACGAAAGGAGTGGTTGGGTTGTTAGGGCAATGCTTCAAAATTATATATAGTTTTTAAATTAATGAAGCCAAAAGATTAACCAGTACTGTTTTTCTTAAATTAGATCCTCAGTTTAATATTGATGACCACTTCATTCTCCTCCCCAGTCCATTACCAAAGCACCATTACTGCAATTTGTGATTCTATTTCTACTTGTTCCAACTCCTTCACTCAGACTCCAGTGACTTCTCGATCCATGTCTACACAGTGATCTCTGGCTCTCTTGTTAGTCTTTTCCTATTTTTTTTCTTTATACCAATCACGGTCTATTTTGGGATTACTTAATAATAATAATCCTTGCATTTGATAGCTCCTTATCACGTCGTTGAGATGTGTCAAAGTGCTTCATAGAATATACTATAAAGTGATGGACTCTATATTTTATGTATGCTGGTTACGTCCAATTTTGCTATTGTCTTTGATTTCAGAGCTGCTGCTGTTCTGACAGACTGCCTATCTGAAGCCAAGTCCTGGATGAGCCATAACTTTACTGCAGCTGAACATCAAGCCTGACCCATCTTGTTTGGTTCTTGCCAGTATCTATTCATCTTTGGCACTGATTCTATCCCTGATTGCTCAATCAGACTGAACCAAGTGGTGCGTAACCATAACATTCTGTTTGACCCTGAGATGAGTTTCAAACTACATTTCCGAAATGTTGCTTTTACTTCATCTGACACAATCACAAGGTTGTTTTGGATGAAAAAGGCCCTTCGGCTTATCTTTTCTCATCTCTCAAAAATATCCTCCCTATTGTACTTGCATCACAGCATCAAGTCCTAAACAAGTCTAGGATCTCCATTGCTGTAAGAACCTCAATCCGTGCCTCAATCACCTGAAGTGTCGATCTTTTTTTCCCTTTCAATTGTTTTCACTAGCCTCCCTAGCTCTATTTTACACAAACGTCAACCAACCCTGATTGTTGGGTGCTTTGTGTACTATTAGTTGTCTGTAGTAGCAGTATTAATTGTTAGCATGTGCCCTGCATTCCCTTGCATGCAACTCGCAAAAAAACGGAAGTGTACCGCTCTTCCAGTATACTGCAGGTTCACAGAGCAACCAGCCTGAAGTCTTTCCTCCATGGCTTCAGACTGCCATGACTGCATCTGCGCTAAGCTCCATTGATGTCCAGTCAATCGTACCCTGATCTATTGCTTGCTCCCCACTCCCATCTGTCGACCATTAGTGGCTAGTCTTCATTGACCACACCTTTCTTTCTGGGAGCCTGTTTCAAAACTGCTCTTTGACAATGCGTAAATCAACATTTTGCATCTCTTATTTCCCTTAGTGTTAACATTTGCTAACATTTCTTAGTTCCTAAATAGTTTCAGACTTTCTTTTATGTGAAGGAGCTATATAAATGCAAATCATCTCTTTTCTTCCCTCAGCTGCAACAAGATTACATTAATATGCCAAGAGAATTATAAGTAAATTGCCACATTTAGGAACATCATATTCAATATTTGCTTCTAGGTTAATACAGTTTGACCATGTTTATAACAGTTTGAGTCAATAAAAAGAGATGCAATGTTCTAAAGGGCAAAGCTGTAAGAATGACCATGGGTCAGCATTCCAGATCAGTAGGTCGTAAAAGACTTAACCAATGGCCCCACCAATCCACACTGTGTTTATGTAGGAAGCCAGCAACTGCTCTCACAAGATGTTTCCAGTGGATGCTGGAAATCGGGCTCCCTGTTTGCTATGTGTTGAAAGCTGGATGTGTACCACTCTTCCAGTAGACCTTTAGTATACCAATGTGTCCATGAAGGGGTTTGACATAACATAACTTAACATGTAGGAGCAGGAGTAGGCCATTCGGCCCTTCGAGCCTGCCCTGCCATTCAATCATGGCTGATCTTCTAATTTAACTCCAGCTAATAACCTGACCCTGCCTTATCCCCATATCCCTTAATCCCTTTTGCAATAAGAAATCTTATCTATCTCAGTCTTGACAATAGTGTATTTTCATGTGCTCATGGACAGTAATTGTAGATAAGATTTGAGTTCTACATTATTTCATTTGGGGGTTTAAGGTATTTTCCATGGACTTGTAAACAAATAATTCCCTTAATTTTCAGAATTGCTTAGTTTAAAAAACAAGGCATTAGGTATGATTATTGATTTTGAAAGTATTGTGGGAATGATAAAAAACTGTTGGATATTTTTTCTCTGTGAGATGGATGACTTGTCCGCTGAAGCAGTATTCACATTTCCACCTTTAAGGTCTGATAAATGAATTCCTGGAATGGTTTCTTATATCTAGTAGCTTACTTTGTTCTTGGGAATCCTTCTGGTTTTCAAAGCAAGCATGGTGTTATTGTTATTTCATAGATTTCTATTTTTTACAGTTTGTTCATTTATATTCCGAGAGCATAGAATTTTTTTTATCCCAAACCATTATTTTTAAAATTAAAGATCAATTTAAAATTAAGTTAAAATTAGAACTAAAGGTTGATGGAATTTATCTGAATTGCAAATCATGTGAATTTTAATATTTTTCTTATTTCCTGTTTACAAGGTTGAATCAAGCACCTCAACAGATGTAGAAAGATGCTAGTTGTGGAGGAGTGGCTATCAGAATTTAAGGTATCTATTACTTTGATTGCAGCAGAACACTTTTGACATAAGCATTTTTTTAAAGCTTCCTATACCATATGGTGACTGTAGTATCTATGGCAAATTGCACCATACAGTGTTTCACTCTCGTGTCAGATTTGGATTTTTTTTGCATGCATATTTCAGGATGCCTCATCTGAATATGCTAAACATTTGAAATATTTTTAAATTTTTACATTAGATTATTATTAATTCACACATCTCTTCCAAATATAGAATAACCTTATTATAATGTGGTTGGCTAGATCCAATGTCTCATTGACTGCATTATAAGCAAAACAATTTTTTTTAGAAAAGGAAACTTCTGGGTCATTGGGTTGCCACTGTCATTCTTGTGTTATGTACACAGGAAGTGACATCAGTGGTGCATCTTGCGTATAGACACACAATAGTACACAGACACACAACGTGCAGGAATTGGTGTTTGTGACTCTAGCCACCTGGCAGTCAGCTGTTTTTAGCAAACGGAAGCCAGGACTACACCATTTTTGCTTAGTTTGGGTCCATAGAAGACCTAATAAGACAGACAGGACTCTACTGGAGGGAGTTATAATGGGATTCTCCTGTATTTAGTAATTGGCAAAATCTGTCATGTATCCCCACCCTACCTTCGCACCTCATTCACCTGGCTAATCTCGTCATTCTCTTCGTTGGCTGACATTGGCTAACTTCACAACCCCCACTCTATCCTCCACACCATCAATAGGTATGCTTTCAGCCACAATCTCTGGAACTCTATTCCCAGTTCCTTCGGTCCTCCCCTTTCAACGTACGCCTCAAGACGTACCTATTTGTCTACACTTTCGGTCATCTATCCCTTCCACCTTTCATCTTTTCCCTCCACTCCCCCTCAACTCTAATACGCTTCCTCACCCCCTCAACTCTTACAGAAATATCATTAATGTGTTCTTTTAGGAAGTAGAGGGTATATATGGGCAGAATTGTGAGACTTGAAAATGCTCATAGTTTTAGGCGTAAGAGCGTTGTCATTAAGTATAAGATTTTGCAGCATTTTCCAACGATTCCTTTCAGAACAGATAAAGGAAGAGCCCTATAAAGCGTTGCTTGACCCCATTTTTTAAAGCCCAATACATGATTGTATGATTGAAGACATTATGTAAAACGAATTACATAAATATTTTACATTGCCTTTGATTACTCTCAAAGAACATAAGAATTTGCTAGGCAAAAGAACACCAAGGTCCATCTAGTTCACCTTCCACCAGTTGCTTAACATCTTGTGACCCAAACTATATATTATATCCCAAGATATTATTTTCTGACAGAAATCTTAATTTGTTCTTGAAACAAACAACATTTTCTGCTTCCACCTTCTCCCAAGGGAGCCTGTTTCATAAGTTTACTACTCGCTCATTGAAGTAGTGTTTCTGCAGATTTGTTCTGAATTTACCCCGCTTCAATTGCAGTACCAGATAAAACACTTATCATGGTCTACATTACCTATTCCCTTCAGAGTCTTAAATACCATAATCATATCACCCATCAACCTTCTCTTCTCCAGTGTGAACATGCCCAGTTTACCTAATCGCTCCTTGTAGTCCAGTCCCTCCATCTACTCAATCATTTTGGTTGCCCTCCTCTGTATCCTTTCAATCGCTGCAATATCCTTTTTATATTTATCATACTTCACGCTTTCATCTATGATGGATAATCAATTTTGATTGATCTACCACAGAAAGCTTGAACTGTATCCTCTGGATGATCTGCAGCCTGTGGAGGGAGGAGTTGGGGAGACGACAAGCAGTGAGTTTGCATAGTCGGGCCTCGATGTAATGAAGGCGTGTATGAGGATTTCGGCGGCCTGCGGTGTGAGACAGTGTCGGAGCCGGGCGATGTTTCGGAGGTGGGGGAAAGCAGAGCGGGTCATAGCGCAGATGTGGGGTAGAAAGGATAGTTGAGGGTCAAACAAGACCCCGGACTGACTTAGTAAGATGGAGTGTGCAACCATGGATGGTGATGCTGTCAGCTCCTGAGGTGAGGAGGTGCTGACGAGAGCCAATCAGGAGAGCCTCGGTCTTGTTGAAGTTCAACTGTAAAACGTTAGCTCTCATCCAGGACTTAATGTCTGACTGTCATTCAGTCAGGACAGCAGTGGTCCTGGAGTCAAGGGTGGAGCCAGCGAGGTAGAGTTGGGTGTCATCTGCATACATGTGGATGTTGACCCCATGTCTGTGGATGATGTCAGCAAGAGGGAGCATATAGATATTGAAGAGGAGGGAACCAAGGACAGAGCCCTGAGGAACGCCGCATGAGACAGTCCGGGTGCTAGAGGAGAAGCCGTTTGAGGAGATGAAGTGCAGGCGGTGTGAGAGGTATGATCTGAACCAGTCAAGGACAGCGCTTTGGAGGTTGAGGTAAAAGAAGAGGTGATGGATGAAGATAGAGTGGTCGACGGTGTCGAAAGCAGCAGAGGTCAAGGAGGACGAGGAGGCAGATGGAGCCCTGGTCGCAGATGGACAGAATGTCATTTGTCACTTTGACCAGGACGGTTTCTGTGCTGTGGGAGGCACGGAAGCCCAATTGGAGGGGTTCGAGAAGGGAGTGGCAGGAGAGGAAGGAGCAAAGCTGAGAAGCAACAACTCATTCCAGGACCTTGGAAAGGAAGGGGAGGTTGGAGATGGGGCAGTAGTTAGGGAGTAGAGAAGAGTCCAAGGAGGGTTTTTTAAGGATAGGAGTGACAGTGGTTTTTAAAGTGGTGGGAACAGTACTAGAGGATAGTGAGAGGTTAACAATGTCAGTGAGTAGAGGGACAAGGAGGTGGAGCTGGGAGGTAAGGAGTGCGGTAGGGATGGGGTCGAGGGAGCAGGTGGTGGGTTTCATACGGGTTATGTTGGTGATGAGAGCGGAGTGGGAGACAGGTTCAAAAATGTGGAGTGAGGGGTGCGTAGGGGCTGGGGTGGGAGGAGGAGATGGGGAGGGGGTAGCAGTTGCAATGGAAGAGGCAGCTGAGCGAATTCCCTCGACTTTGGATTTGAGGAAGTTCAACATCGCTTCGCAGTTGGCATTTCAGGTGAGGATGGGTGAGGCGTGAGAGGGTGGGCGGAGGAGCCAGTTCATGATGGAGAAGAGGAGCCTGAGGTTGTCCTTAGCCTCCAAGATTGTCTTGGAGTAGAATGATGATTTAGCGGAGGCGAGGGCCGATGGACTGATAGGTTTGATTTAAACCAGGTGCGCTCAGCGGAACACGCCTGGACTTTAAGGGAGCGGAGGTGGCTGGTGTACCAAGGTGATTTGCGTGAGTAGTAGACGGTTTGGGAATAGAGGGGAGTGAGGGAATCAAGAGTGGAAGAGAGGGAGCTGTGGAGAAGGGTGACCGAGGTGGAGAGGTCATTGCGGGAGGACGCCCAGAGGGGAAGGAGTTCAGATGACGAATAAAGTTCATAAGAGAAAAAGGAGGTCAACCTTGGCATTAGTGAATACCAAGGTATCTTCTCAACTAATATCAGAGACCACAGAACATTCCCAAAGTGATCATTGATTGGCATTGCCAACTGAGAAGAGATGCCCAAATCTAACGTCTGTCAATTCTAGACTTTTTTGGGAGATATTAGATTTGAAAATACATTCAATGGGAAAAGTGAAACAAATGGCATTTTGTGTCAAGAGGAAATAAGCCTCAGGATACAAAGTCTCTACCATGGAGCCTCACAAGTATGTCCCAGCACTCTGTGAGAACTGAGCTCTGAGGCAATTTTCAAATGCCACTGAGAATTTTATAACCCTTTGTATTCCATTTACTTTCTTTCTGCTTCTCCATCCCCCAGTGCCTTCGCCGCTTCCTCCCTTTCCTCCTTCAAGGCCGGTCTCAAGACCTTTCTCTTTGACCGTGCCTTCAGCTCCCCTCTCAACTCTCTACCCCCTCCTCGCTCCCTCCCTTCCCTCCCCTCACCCTGACCATTTCCCCCCTGCTCGGGTCCTGACCCAACTGTACAGCGCCTTGGGACGTCCTCCCGACGTGAAAGGCGCTCAATAAATGGAATCTTGTTGTTCTTGTAATACAGTGAGATTTAACAACCTTAAAATGCTCAGTTCAAAATGATATTGTCAGATGAGATATGGGCATTCAGACTATATAATTCCTTAATGAGCATAATATAGGGGAATCCTATTCTTGTCCCTTTTGTTTCCTCGCTTAGAGCATGGGTCTCGTGCGTACCCACATTAGTTAGAAGAAGGGGGAGACCTAGATTCGCACGCATAATGAAAGCTGAGTTCTGCTTCATCAACCGGTTCATGTCCAGTTGACATCACTTCACAGGAAGCGACATCAGTGACAACTTGATGATCTGGACATTGGCTATTTCTTAATTTCTTCATTTGTAATGTGGTCAGCGAGTTTAGTGCTGTAATGAAGTGATGTAATGAGTTTCTCCTCATAGTGGGTTTGTTCTTAAAAGCTATTCTTAATAGCTATATTTGAAATTCTTATTCACTTTTTATTTTGATTTCAGACACTGCCTGAGAGCTCTGTTTCCAGCTATGCTGCAAGTTTAAACGACAACCATTCTTTGGTTTCAGCATTATACCAAGTCATTTGTGAGCCTCATAGTGAGGTAGGAACAAAACAATGCGATGGTGCTCACTGAAGACTGACTATGCTTAATGTAAATCACATTTGTATACTGCCATTAGAATATGCTTATTAATGTAATGCTTTTTTAACATCCTAATTAAATTACTAAATATTAGCATATAATTTCACAATCTTACTGTCCTTATTTAATATTAGAACTGTTTATTCTGGGAGTAATATTTTCAATACAATGTACTGTTTTCCTGGTTTTCCCTGTTTCTTGTGATTTTTTAAAATTTCTGTAGCTTCTTAAGACTTCTTAAGACATTCACAAAACTAACATTTTGCATTAATTTCAACTTCCAGTTTGCGAATCTTAAGTTGGTAAACTCTAATAAAAAGACCCATGAGCAAAGCTGCCTTTTCCCACCAGAGTTTTGTTTGCTGGCATTATGGACTTTACCAACTTGACACTCGCTAATTTTATAAACAGAAATTTATACAAGAAATGGGGTTCATGAATATTGCACAATGGTGATACCAGTAGTGCCTTTTTCAAGAAAGCGGTTCCACATGTAGTTTTGCATCTTTATCAGTGTTGGGTGGCAGTTTAGAAATAGTAAGGCTAAAATACAAATAATCGTTGCATTTGATATAGTATTTTTAATTTTGGGAGGACTTGAAGCGTATAAAGTGTAGTGACTGTATTTTGTAGGCAAATGCAGCAGCAATTTGCACACAGCAATGCTCCACAAACAGCCATGTAATGGATGATCAATTCTATCTGGGGGGTTGTTGGCCATGACACTTTTCTTTTAGAATAGTGTATCGTGTCTTTAACATACACCTAAAGAGGCAGATGGGACCTTGGTTTAATGTTTCATTTGAATGATAGCACCTCCAACAATGCAGAGCCTAGCCTGAATGAGCTCCAAGTATTCAAGTGGGGCTGGAACCATAACCTTCCAACTCTGAGGTGGGAGTGCTACCAATTGGGCTAGCTAACGCCAGTTGCCTGGGTAATGCTGTGTATTTCAGTACTAACAATGATTTGACATTGTCTTATCAATTTTTAAGGAGTAAGCATAGCACAAATAGAACATGTGCTTCCAGGAGTAATTTGTAAAGTTGATGGTTAATTGTACCCCACATAGGCTATACTTATACATCTTCAGAGATCAGTTACAATGCAAGCAAAGAGAAAGAGGTGCTCGTCTTGTGGGCTGGAGAATAGTGTGTGGTATGACAACTTAAAGAGATTGAATAAAATTGTCGCTTTTTTTTAAAAGCGAAGATTGCAATATCCTTAAAATGGATATGTTTCATTTTTGGATGAGTCGTTAGTACAGGATGTTACCCTTCTAGTTGTCAGTGTTGCTCGGTTTGTAGAAATCTTGCCTCTGACTTAGAAGATTGTGGTTTCAAGCCCCATATCGGGACTTGAGCTTGCAGTCTATGATGATGCTTCAGTGCAGTTCAAGGGCAGTGCTGCATTGTCAGCACTATTTGAATAAAGAAGGGAATTTCTCCCAGGTCATCAATAATCCAGATAAAATTGGTTATTCACTTCATGGCTGTTTGCAGGCATCATTTCTGAATTGTTAGCACAAATGGGAAGTTGTGGTCTACAGAATAAACAGTGACTTCACTTTACAGCAAAAATCTTGTGAAGCAGTTTGCGACCTTTAGATGACATAAAGCACTGGATTAAATGCAAGGATTATTATATCCTTGACTTGGTATCTTGGTATCTGGTATGGAGAAAAGTAAGCTGAAGTTTTATACTTACAATTGGTGCATCAGATGCAACTACTTAATGGGTAGGCCTGTGGGCAGGAGGATGGTGGCAATATTCTCAACCATTTCACGCTGAGCTGTACTGCTTACCAAGGAGTTTGTAAAGAGTTTCTGGCATCTGTTATCCTCGAGTGAGGGTTCAAATCTGTGCTTATAGAATGTTGAATGACTAAATTGTGACTATCAATTGGGGAGGGGGAGAAGACGTAAGTGGAGTCTCATGAGGGCTGAGCTGCCTCCAAGGGAGGCTGAGCTACCTAGCAATGGAATATTGGAATTAAGTTGAATCTGTGGCCTTCTCTGTAGTTTAATTCCTAAGGCAGGTGGTCCATAGAACTCGTACAAAGTGATTTAGCACAAAAATGGGCGATTCAACCAGCGTAATGTGTGCTGGTGTTTATACTCCAGAGAAGCCCTTACTCCTCCTATTACCTTTTCTTATATTCCGGTATTGCTTTCTCCCACATGCATGCATCATCTCCATGGTGCTGTTGATAGGGCTTGGAAGGGCAAACCAGTCACTGGAGGAGGATTGCGTTTTAATGTCAATTCTGTTATATTATTCTTCATTGAGAACTGAGAAAGATTGTACTGTGTGTGTATGTGTGTATATTGTTTGTCTATCTGTGGTTTGGCGAAGGGAAAAAAGGTAGTTTGTAAAACAACTTGGAAGTTTCCTGATGAATATTTCATCTTTTAATTTAATTACAGTTGCTGGAACCAGTTTGTCATCAGCTGTTTGAATTTTATCGCAATGGTGATGTCCTTCTTCGGAGATTTACATTACAGTTTCTTCCAGAACTTGTCTGGTGCTATCTTTCAGTCACAGCTACAAGAGATGTGCACAGCAGTGGCTGTATTGAAGCGCTCCTTTTGGGGATCTACAACTTGGTATGTAATTTTAAATGGTCCCATAAAGTTGTGATTCAGTAATCTAAATGACTTTAAAGGCTTAAAACAAATCATTCTTTATTTGGGGAATTCAAAGTTTTTCCTTTGCTGGAGTAAATGTCACATTAGAATTTTAAGACATTTTGAGTTTGGGAAGCTGCTCATGTGACCTTTCGCACTGCAGTACTATAAATAACATCCTTGCCTATTTCAATTTGTTATTTCCCCAAGGCCAAATGACATTCTGAACTCCATTTCAGTCTTCCCCTGAGGGTGGACTCAAGAGGGGGCAGGGCTAAACCTTAGGCGATTTACTCCACACGCCTCTGTTTATCTAGCAGTAAGGAAGGACCCAGTTGTTAGTCGATTGGCGGATTGCTTTCCGGGGGTATTAATCCCTTCAAAGAAAAGTAATGGTTAGAGCTTAATGGTTGGAGTATTCGCCTCACAAAGCGAGAGGACCTCGGTTTGATTTCTGGTAAGGGCGAAATGTTGGGCAAGTTTCCTTATTCCACACGCCTCTGTTTACCTAACAGTAAGTAGGAACCGGTTGATAGTCGATTGGGCGATCAGTTTTCCTGGGGTAATAACCCCTTCAACAAAAATAAATAAAACATAATTGGGTCACTCAATCCACTGGTTGTGGGACACTGCTGTGTGCAATTGGCTGCCGTATTTGCCCACAAATACACAGTCAAGTTCTTTGAGACGTCTCATCAAATGTGAAGATTGTTATTAACTTTAACGTCTGCTTGAACAGGCAGACAGGACCTTGGTTTAATGTCTCATCCGAACAATGGCACTCCAACAATAATTAGAGTGTCAGCCTAGTTCAGGGGTCTGCAACCAGTCAATCGCCGCTAGGCGTCATCTTGCACATGCTTAATACAAACAAGAAGAAGCGATATATACCACAATTTAAACAATAACGTTTATATTTTTATTTTGATGCATTTTATTGTACATGAAATAGTTAGTGCATCTGGCTTCATTTTCAATTGGACTGAATAAATACACATTTCTATCGCTCTTTCCTCTCGTCTTTTGATCATGTGCGAGACCGCCACCTGGTGGCATTCGACTCATTGGAGCACCCTAGTTTAGACTATTTGAGTTCCAAGTCCTTACATGGGGCTTGAACCCACAACCTTCTTACTTAGAGGCGAGAGTGCTACCTATTGAGGCAGCCTAACACATGGTGTAAGATCAGGGAAGAGGTTCAAATCAGGTTCCTAAAATATTTTTGAAAAGTTCTTAAATAAGAAAGGTTCAAGATGGTCACATTGCCTCATATCATTCAGGTGTTTGAGAGACTGTTTAGCTGCAGTAGGTGTAAATAATTAGTGTTTTCACATCCTTGTCATTGGACCTTGTAATTGGAAATTCAGTTTCTAGCATTGGATGAGTTGTATGACATTGGCATTCTCTATTTCCCTATTTTGTATTTAGTGAAGTATGGTAAATTCAAAAAGTGGATGGGTTTTTATGTGAAAATCTTAAAATATTTCTGAATGAGTTCTCCATTAAATTAGCTTTCATTTTTCGCCAAAAGAAATGTTCAATTAACTAATGTGAAATACAGCAGAGCAGTAACAGGAAAGGTTTCTACAGTCTAAGCATTTTTCAACTCGATTGAGTATCGCAAACAGGATGCTTACTTGTCTTAATACAAACTGGATGCTGACTAATTGCTCCTTACAAAACAAATCCATGCAACTCTTGTTTATCTTTCTGAACTTTTTTTATTAAGGTGGGACAGTTTTTATTTTCCTCCTCCTTCAATAATTATAAAACTTTCATATAAAAGGATGTAGAATAACTGGTTCTTCAACTTGTAGATTATCATAAAGAGTCTGCTTGTGTTAACCCCTTCCCTCCCACTACCACCCCATCAAAATTAATCCCGATTTATTATAATTAATAAAGCTGTACATTTTAAACTGGAGACTTTTGAAATTAGAGTGTTGCAACACATATTATCAACAACAAATTGCATTTATTTAGCAGCTTTCGGTCCGATATTTACCTGTATTGAGAATGTTTGCTTAATTATTATTGATGATGACATCATAATTTTTCTGAAACTTTCCAATGATATTGCAAAAAATCCATTTATGTCCTCCACAAATGTAGTTGCTGATTAATGATCATAATTTTTTAGATGTGGATTTTTGAATTCCTAAAGCGATACACTTAGAAATATCCAATTTTTCTGAAAGTATGTCAACTCAACAAATTTAACTTGTTCCACCAATTTACACCACATTTGTGATATTCTTTTGCATTATTTTGCCATTTATTTCAACAACAAAGTAGCTTTCAAAAGTATTTGACAGCAGTGCATGAGAAGGTAGCCTTGAAAGAAAGTCAAATGAAAATCTATGAATCAGTTTCTTTTTCTATCTATCCCTCCCCTATCATTGCTGATATTGCACTAATTTAAGTAACTCAAATACAGTAGCATTTAACTGTTAAATAAACCATAACTTAATTTGTTAGCATAATTAGGGTAAAAATAAACTATCCCTGTAGATCACTTGAAAAGAAAGCAATTACAATCCTAAAAAAGTGTATAATGTGCTTGATCTGTGCAAACATAGTAAATGCTGTATATTACTATTGAAAGCAAAGGTGCATGTTGATGTTCCTTTTTTCAGGAGATTGTGGATAAGGATGGACACAATAAAGTGCTGTCTTTTACAATCCCATCTCTTTCAAAACCTTCTATATACCATGAGGTAAGTTTCATTTTATTGCTTTTTTTCTGATTTTAAACTAAATCAAATGCCTTTTCATTTCTTTAAAGGTTTAGGTGATCAGTAAGTTTGCAACAATAACCCCACCATTGCCCTCCCATCTAGAAGCGCAAGGAACCTTAGCAAAATGGTGGCCATCAAGTATCACACTTAAAGACATATGAGCCTTGAGATTAGCAGCTTGGGGATTGTGACACGATTTTAACCATTTTACATCAACTACTGAGTAAAGAGCTCATTATAAAGATATTAATGGGGAGAAGGGCTGAGGTGGCCAAAAGTGCAGTCAAAGAGCATAATGTCATTACACATGGAATAGAACTGTTTGGAACTGAGTGGAGTCATAGTATGGATCCCATTCTCATCACTATGTAGTAAAGTGCATTGGTTCTGCAACAGGTTTGTTTACAGTTACCACACTAATACTAATGTTATCATGCAAAGTTTTTGTATTTTAAATGTAGTAGACTTGTGTCCTCATGATTTCTTGATGTTTATCTGGTGTTAATTGATGTTTTAGCCTTCCAGTATTGGTTCTATGGCACTTACAGAAAGTGCCTTATCTCAGCATGGTTTGTCTAAAGTTGTACATAGTGGACCTCACGATCAAAGGGAAACCTTTACAGCACAGAACAGGTAAGGTATTTATTAATATTTTGGATTTACAGAACTTTGAAACTTAACAAGAATCTTTTGCAATGAAGATTCTGGGAATAGAATAGAATAGACTTTGAGGCTTTAAGAGCCGATGAAGCTTTTGATCTGAAGCTCCTGTCTGTAAAGTTTCCATTGGAGCTAGATTTGGATCAATTTCTCATCATATTACCATGATACAACAACAACAAAATTACATTTGTATAGCGCCTTTCATGTTGGGAGGACGTCCTAAGTCGCTAGACAATCAGTGTTTCGGACCCGAGCTGGGGGTCGGGATCGGGGAGGGCGGAGGGCAGGGGGGGAAGGAGGGTGATCAAAGATACGGTTAAAGAGGAGGGTGAAGCAAGCCGACGCCCACTGAGCGGAGTGAGCGGGCAGGTTGGTAGGCGGTTAGGATATTGCAGAGGTAGGGGGGAGCAAGGCCATGGAGGCCATTGAAAGTGAGGACCAGTGTAGGGAACTATATCCACTATGTGATGGGAAGCCAGTGGAGTTGGGCGATGATGTGGGTGATAGGGTCACGGAGCCTGGTGTGGAAGAGGACACAGACTGCAGAGTTCTGGATGAGATGCAGCCTATGGAGGGAGGATTTGGGGAGGTCAACAAGTAGGGAGTCTGCATAGTCGAGCCTGGATGTTATGAATGAGTGTCCGATGGTCTTGGCAGCCTGTCGTGTGAGACAGTGATGGAGCTGGGTGATGTTGCGGAGGTTGTGGAATAGCTAATTCCCAGCTGACATTTCAGCTGCTCTTTCTGAAAGTGAAAAACACTTATCAAATAACTATTTCCTCAGACTGGAAGACTGCTGCTTAATGCATCAATAATGTATTAAATAATAGCTTTTGAATTCAACCGGGACCAAAAAGGACTTTTAATAGTCTTTTTTGATCCTGTACGTTCCTATATAACAAAATAATTTTATATCTTGAGACAAATATTATTTGCTTAAGAAGAATATTGCCAAATGTTCTGATCTTACAATAGACCATTGTGTATAGCCCTATAGTTATATATATATAATATATTATATATAAATTTGAAAAGCAAAAGGTGCTGTCTCTTAACAATGGAGTAATAGTAAAGACATTGGAGGGCTGCTCTTTATTGAAGTTATATTATTACTATAGAATCCATTTAATTACCAACTACTACAGGTAGTGATTATCCTTCTTTGTTGTAGCTTGGTAGTTTGATACTGGTTACTTCCTCAAGATAGACTGAGGTTGGTCATGCAAGATCTACCCTTTCTGAACCCATGTTGGCTTTCATTTATTGGATTATTTTTATACAAGTAATCTTCCAATTTAATTTTGATGATTGACTTCATTTTCAGTTTTTCGATTTATTGAGGTGTGAAACCTCAGTTTTATGCGAAAATTATGCAAAATTATTAATGTTCGCTGGCCATTTTGTATATTTTTGCTTGATAGTCTTATCAAGTTTGATTTTTTAAAATCTATTTCTTGACAGGTTTGAAGTTTTGACATTCCTGTTTCTCTGCTACAATTCAAATTTAAACTGCATGCCTCGTCTATCTCTACAGTCTCTGTGCCATATGAGCTCCAGGTGAGATGCAACATTTCAAACTAATGATTGATTTGCTGAGATTTTTTGAAGAATATTATGTTACTGCTTTCTATTGCTTGTAATATCTTAGTTATTAATAATAATCCTTCATTTGATATAGCACCTTATCACATTGTTGAGACGTCTCAAAATGCTTCATAGAATATACTGTAAAGTAAATTGACTGTGTATTTTGTGAGTGAAACACAGCAGCCAATTATGCACAGCAGTTTGTTTCATTCTTCCAATTCTAAAATAGATGGGTTGGAAATTTGAATAAGAATGCCGTGACATAGGAGCCAAAATTCCTCTCAAGTGAAAATGTGCATAAATGAAATGTTTAGTACGATTCAAAGATGTAAAATACTTAGCCAAAAAGCCACTTTAGCTTGTTAAAGGCAAACTTCTGAAATAGGAAGGCTGGATGAGGCTAAGGCACTGGACTCTTTTTTTTAGAAAAGCTTGATGCTGAGTTTAAAGAATGATAAGGTGGGGTTTAAAGAATGATAAGGTGGGGTTTAAAGAATGATAAGGTCAGACGGGCTGAAGCACTTTCTTAATCCAAACCAATCTTATGAGCTGAGAAGTTTCATCAAAAAGTGAAAGAAGTGTACATATGAGGTTTTGGTTGAGAACATGCCAGGTTTCTCTTACTGTTATGAAATAGTTAAATGCACTTAAAAGAATAATACATAGTCTCTAACTACATTTAAAGTAAAATTCTGTGAAGCACCTGAAGATATTTTGACAACGTAATGAGCTGCCATATCAAATGCAAGTCTTTTTTAATTAAAATAATGAGGCATGGTGGTATGGTTAAAGCAACATGTTAATATCAGTTTAGGATTTTAGTAGAGAACAGCCCCATTTTAATTAATTAATAAGGCAATTATATTACAAAATAAAATCAAGAAATTAGAGCATCTCAATAAGAGTCATACATAAATTACAACTACATTAATTATGCATTCAGAATTACTAAATGAATAAAATTACTGCTAGTGCTCTATCAGTAGAGTAATGAACTTCCATCCAAAGGTTTATGATTTTAAATCTTATTAAATCTTATTTCTAAGTAAAATATTGTCGTATTAAATACTTTTATTCTGAATGGTGATGCATTTCTTCGCAGCTTGAGCATGGATAATTATAATACTTGTATTGCAATTGATTCTCAGTAGATGCTTTCTCTTTATACATACAAGATTTTTTTGTTGTAGGGATGGTGCAGTTCCAAAATATAGTGGTGATTAGAAAGACTGAACACAAGATGATAATGCCCCTAATACAGGCTTTAAGTAATAACACAGAGTTTATTTAAGGAGCACAAAAGAGATAAAGTAGTACTGTCAGTCAGAAATGAATCGTAAATTGCTATGTATCACAGTGATTGCAACTGCAGTGGTTTCAAATGAAAACGTGTAGATTCCACTAGGAGCATAGGAACGTAAGTAGGCCATTCAGCCCATTAAACCTGCTCCACCATTTTATTAGATTGTTGCAGTTTATATTTTGAATCCCATTTCACTACTCTTTCTCCCTATTTCTTAATATCTTTGTTTTCCATCTCCTTATTGCCACTTCAGAGTCATTCATAGTGCACGGACAAGAATATGGCTCAGTTGCTGTCATTGGGTCAGAAAACTGTAGGTTCATGCCCCACATTGGGGATTTTGAGCTTGCGATCTAGGCTGACAGTCCATCACGGTGTCCCTTCCCCCTCCCACCCCCCCTTACCCCAAATAAATTACAGGTGTGTTTAATCGTTGCTGGTATCTCACAGTCCTGTGCAGATAAATTGATATCAGTGATTTATTTTTAAAGTTGCTTACTAATAATAGATTTTCACTTACCAAATGTAGTCAGTTCTGTAAGAGAAAATCAGTGTCACACAGACTTGGGAAAAGTGCATGCAGAGGAGATTGTTACAGATGGTCTGATTTATAATTATGCAGCTTTTTCCATGCTATTAAACTGTTTAATGTGTCTGTACTGTGATGTGTATGCAACCATCTAATAAAATGAGGCTGGAGGGAAATGTATAGATTCTAGTGTTTAATAGCAGTCGCTGGTGGTGCTGTGACTTTGGGCACATCTGGTCCAGTCAGGAGATGAAACCCGAGTCACCTGAAATTACTTTCAGACTTGTATAGTTTTATTATCTACAAATGATAGCTAAGTATATTCTTGTCCTTTTTTAAACCTAATCCTGTTAAATGCAAGATTCCTACCATACCATCGCATTTGATGGTGTTGGACTGGGTAATTTTGTATATAAACCTTTCTGAGCCAATTTCCTCTCTCTTCTTGGAGTTCCACAAACACTGGCTGCTCCCGATGCCCTATTCACTTGGTCTTTCCTTATGTGAGTTTGTATTGGCTTGGATTCACTTGGTTTTATTGTAAAAATAATATCCATCATATGTTGCATAATTGTTTGTCAATTTTATGTTAGTTGCTAATCTGATTATTCCTAAAATGTGTGGGCATCGGTTAGTATTTCATCTGTGATCCAGTTCAAAATAAGCTTTCATTCCTTAAAGCTACAAAAATCCCATACAATTGTTGAACCCCATTTAAATAACGGTTGTATATGTAGCATCGAGCTAAAGCATCTTAATTACTTATCTGTATATTTTTGACATGAAATGCACTAGAAATACTAGTACGAAGTGCATAATACTTAAGCTCTATTTGCATGGATAGATTATCATATATAATGGGCTGATTGATACATAAATTGTTGATGTATACTTTTATAGAGCAGACTGCTCATTTATCATGCTATCAAATACTACAGTGTATATCGTTTAGTTTAATTACTATGCTAAATGCAGAATATGTATTTGATCTGAGTTGGTTGGTTATTTATTAAATAGAATTCTTGGCGAATAAAGGTGCTCCTGATGTTGATGGACTTTCAGTAAAAGTATTTCATAGTCCCAGTGCCCGAGTTGAATATAATCCTACAGTGGTTTGACTAGTTTTGAAACATTGGAGGAGCTAAAATGAAATTACCAACAAACCACTGATATATTTTGATCATTTGACAAAACTTTATATCATCCATTATAAATAAAAACGAAGAACATCCTTTATTTTTTTTTCTTTCACAGAGTATGTGTCAGTGGATATCCAAGACAGTTTCAGAAAAATTACAAAGATTTCAGTAGCAGAATACCTGTGTCTCCAGAGTGTATGGTACAAATATTAACAGCCGTTTATTACGCCATGTAAGTATAACTATCTTAGTTAATCTCCTTATGTACTATGCCTTCATCTGACCCTGCATCTTGGTTTATGCGTCATTCAACATTGCAGTGCACACCCAGCACTGCATTGGAGTGTCAGCCTAAATTATGGGAGTTCAAAGTCCTCACGTGGGGCTTGAATTCACAACCTTCCTACTCTGAGGCGAGAAAGCTGCCAACTGAGCCAGGCTGACACACAAAAGGTTTCCTTGAAGCCGCCAAATACAAGAATACAAGATTAATAATAATATAACAATCCTTGCATTTGATATAGTGCTTTTCATGTCTTCTAGATTTCTCAAAGCACTTCACAGAATATACTTTAAAGTGAATTGACTGTATATTTGTGGGCGAATGCGGCAGTCAGTTGCCCACAAATAGTCGTAGATTGAAAATAACCAATTTATTATTGTTTTTTGTTTTGGAGGGATTATTATTATTAGGCATGTGGAGTAAGGAAACTTGCCCAAGGTTTCGCCCTGCCTGGAATTGAACTCAGGTCTCTCACTTGCAAAGTGAGTGCTATAACCACTGAGCTACAGGACTCTAATCTCAAAGATTAGAGATTTGAATAGACTGAACAGATGGATTTTAACTGCAATCATGGCCCTCTGCAAACAATGCATGTTTGATAATGTGTGTATATTGTATTGTAGACAGTGGACTACCATTGCATATTGAAAATACTCTGATACATAACTTGGAGTTCCAAGAAGCAAAAGGAAGGCAGGGTTTAATTTGGGCAGTAATTAAAATGTACTTAAATTGATGGATACTATTGTCAGTTCTTTGAATAGACACAACTGAAGAAATAAGTATCTGAGCCAATTTGAGCACTTAGCTAAGCTGTTACCCATTATTAAGTTAGGTTTCTTTTTTTCTTTTCAGCTTCACAGCTACTGGCTTCAGTAGTGCTAATATTTCTGTTGGCTTAGCTATATAGCAATAGAACTTCAGAAACTAGTACATGGATAACTATCCATATTTTCTTCACTATCTGAACTATGTGCCTCGTGATATCTGTTGAAGTAAGGTTAAACAGCTTGCTACTTTGATATCGTGCTCAGAATTCAATTTTTATAATTAAACGTTATACCTTACTTAGGTACAATGGAGAATGGGACCTGGCCTGCAAAACATTGGATGACGTACTGTACAGAGCACAGCTGGAAATGTTTCCTGAACCTTTACTGGTGGGTATCTGGTCCTCTTTACTTGGGTAATTAAGCAGGTTTCTAATTTTACCATTTTTTTAGATAAACATAGTATTTCAAAATTACTGGGTGATGCTTTATTAAATGGTTAAAACTATCATCTTGGAAATAATTTTGGGTTCCAGCTTCTTGACCAAGATGAGCCAAAATGATCAAATTACAGAAAGATTGATAAAATATGGTTATTTTGAAAAAATATCTCTTCTGGTAGAATGTTGTATGAAAGAACTATAGCTTACTGTACCTTAAAATATCTCTCTACAGGGATTTTTTTTTAACCACTCAAGCCATTTTGGTACTAGGCTCCATTCACCAAATTTATGGGTTTTTTGGTGCTTAGAAGTGACTTATGGCAAAACAGTCTTTTATTGAAAATTATTGTGCAGTACATTTTAAAATCTAAATATAAAATGTAAACCATGTAAATGATCAATGGCGATAATCGGAGAAGGCACAAACAGTAACAGTAACAATGTGTCATGTAGTCTCTATTTTAATCAGTGGTCACCTTTTATTTTTAATAAAACCCAGATAGTTCACCTAGTTCTTTGTTCTCATCAGCTGCCATTTGCAAAGAAATAATCATCTAGGTAATGTGCTTTCTTATTTTATATTAGTCCCCTGAAATCCCATGTAAAACTGAAAGATGAGTCAATCTGGGCTCCTCTTACTGACATGATATTGTAGTATATTGAACCATGAAACCTATACAACCTGATGCAAATGGTATGAGAGATGTGTCATGTAGTATTTATGAAACCCTTTCAATAAAAATCTTTCTACGAACTATAAAATAATATATTTTGGCTTAATTTCATTTTGTTTCATAGTTCTGCATTTAATGTTTTTATTCAGGTTGGCAATGCAATCAAAAATTCTGTATGTTTTGATGCTGTCAAGTATTCTAAAGAAGCACCGAGATGTATACAGGTAGAGATAACTCCAACCTCCTCCAGAATATCAAGGAATGCAGTCACCAGTCTATCAATACGAGGACATCGATGGAAGAGGAATGGTAAGAAAAATGAGAATGGGAACAGAGTGATTCAATTTGCATAGATATAATCTGTATGAAATGAGGCTTCACAGAAAATAGTAAAATATTTATAACACTTTATTAGAAAAAATCTCTATGCACTTTCTTTACCCTGATCATTTTGTCCCTTCACAAGGAGTGCTATTTCAAATTCATGGTGGACTGATTTTAATGTCTAGTCTAATTTGTTCATTACAAAGGGGATGTAAAATTGAAAGATGAGTCAACCTTGACTGCTCGTCTCACAGACACACAAAGGCCTTGTCCTGGAAATTAGTCATTGCTAATGTGTGGGGGTGGAGTTGGTGGGCTTAAAGAGAGACATCACTATCTTAAGGAAACATTAAAATATTTTAGCTTTTTGTCCGATTAGCTCTGTGTAGTGAATCTAGGGATTGCAATCCTCAATATTTCATTTTTGTCATCAACCATCTGTTTGAATCAGTACAGATTATATTCTGATATTTTTGCATTCACAAAAAAATGGTGTGTATTTGGTCTTCAATTTCTCTGGATTAATGATGTGTGTGTTTGGTTCAAAATCTGTAACGATGCTTACTCCATTTGACCTTCTCAACACACTGTGGTGAGTCAGAATTTTGATCAGGTGACAGATTCTTGTATTTGAAGATTGAGACATCTTCAATCTATTGTATTACCAACTGAGTATTATCAGTTGGCTAAGATCAAAAAGAAAAAGATACGAATTCCATATAACCAAATAATATTCCATTCTCATCCAAATTCAACAAACTATTATTCATTCATCTCGGTGTTTGTGAAATAATGGTGGTGCAGAATAACTTCCTCATTTGAATACGCAACACTTACTACAGTTCAAAGTACTTTTTAAAGTAGTTTGAAGCATTTTGAGACATTTCATGTACTTTAAATTGAGCAATATTAATTTAATTTAGTAGTTATATTATGTATTGTATATTTAATTACAGTGGATCATTTCCTCTTTAACTGTGGCTTTCCTCTTTGTCCGTGCCTTGGTGATCCTCCCACCCTTCTTGATTCCAATCTCTAGTTTGGATGCAAATCCTTGAGTGTCCAGCTCCTTGTGAAGTCATCCCTACTTGACAGGCGCTATATAAATACGATTTATTGTTGTTGAGTCTCTTGCATGTTTGCTTTTAAAATTAAATTTTATCAGGAGCTAACTGATTTGAATATTATGTTTTTGTTTTACTTGGTTTCAAGGAAATTCTGTGGGAATTGCATCAATGGTGTTCATAAAATTGACCCCTCTGTCAATCCACATTTCTCAAGTGACAAACTGGAGGCTGAAGGACGTATCTATTCTCTGAGGTTACAAATAGCTCTAGCGGTACAGTTCACATGAAAAAACACCACCAAAAGTACATGGTTTGGGTGCTGGCCTGCTCTCCTGTCATATTGGTGTAACTGAAAAATCAGATGTGTATTGTATCAGCAGAGTTCAAGTCAATATTTGTTTTGGAGAATGCCAAGGCTTTATGTGACTGAATCCTGTCCAACTTGTCCTGAATTAAGTGGGAACAACATTTTAAATGTGAGAACCTTTACAATAATTGGAGCATTCCCGTTTTCACCATTAGAAGCATGTGGCGCCAAGGTTGGTGATTTACCAATAGGTGGGAAATAACATCATGTTTAGATGGAAAAGCTGCAGATCAGTAGTTAATTACTTACCAATAATCTTTGTTGTCCTACAGATAATGTTCTTCAGACATATAGGAATGATCCTGCTGGGTTGAGGGACTGAGGATAGCCTTAATTTGTCGTTGAAAAGGAACTGCACGACTTCTGCTTTGTAAAGTTTATATCGAGTGATACCATGTGTTCGGGCAGGGGTGTTGCATATGGAACACAAACTTGCTGTCCGTGGGCAACTAACATTATAAAGAGTATGTCTCGATGGAGAAGTTCCATCTGGGAGAGCAAGGATTACTGGTAAATTTAGTTTCATTGTAGATATTAGCTAATCTGTTTGAGTAACATCTGTTGACTAACAGCTTACTGCATGTAAAATTATTAGATATCAGTTATAAAAAAAGAAAATATTTATATAAAGCAGTAAAAATTCTTAATTTAGTATGTTATTCCGAATACATATTTTTTGTATCATTTAAATCCTATTTGATCCTGCATAAAGTTGTTGCCCAGAATTGTCTCCATAATAATGGGCAGCATAAAGTTTGTATATGCTTCTTATCATCAACTTATGTATTGTGGTTCTGGAGGTTCGTAATGCAGGGCAAAACAACAGCATTTCAAACATCTGCTATTTTTACATTGCATGGTATTCATAGTTCAGGGTATCTTGCAGCAGGATAGCAGTACATGGTGAAAGTCTAACATCATTGCATAAATGATGCCTTGGGTAAATGACAAACCATTGGAAATTTATTTTCACAATCTTCTCTTCTGAAAAGGGCTGAAGAGTCTCAAAGGTTTTTTGTTTTTTCTGCTTCTACCACTATTATTTACCACACGTCCTAAGTGCTTTGGGACGTCCTACCGACACGAAACACGAAAGGTGCTATGTAAATGTGAATTATCTTATTTGGGTAGCAGGAATCGTGCAAATGAACATCTAATGATATCGAGCATGCATGAGATGTCTGAAGTCAGTGTTCTTACTTACTATAATGATATCAGAAGTCTGGGCAAGCACAACAACTTTATACGTCTGCACAGACCTTTTTGATTTATGGAGTTAGATTTCCTTTATGCAGAGACTATAGGAGAACCCACTCCAAAAAAAGATCTTCCAAGTTCGGTGATGAAAAAGCCTTCTGTTTTTTATTATGAGTTGCCTCCAGAGGAAAGTTTACGTCTGGAGCAAAATTGGAATAAAAACAGCTGTTCTGAGTCTTTTAATCTTAAAGATAGAGATGAGAGGGGTTTGAAAATTCCTGTTGTTCAGTCACAAATGGCTATTGTAGGATATCCTTTTAAGAAGTAAAAGACAATTAAGAAAGAGCCAATGATATAGAAGCAGGAATTATAAAAGGATCCTGGAAAGGGAACCAAGTTTGGGTTTATGATTGGAGTGTTGGAAGCAGAGAACAAAGCAGTAACTGGATACACCAGTGTTGTGTATTGAGAATCATCACATGGTGCCAGGAGTAAAATTGAACTTGGACTGGAAACTACTACTAGATTGAATAACAACAGAAAATGAATTTGTGAACAGGAGAACTGGGTGTCATACCAAGGTATGTGCAGATGCAGTGTCCATTGAAGTTGGTGGGCAACTTGAGACACAATTTGAGCTGGATTTTCAAATCTTTGATAGTCTCAAATTTGAACGAATTACCACAAATACAGAATTATGCTGTGTTCCTGAGTATAACAAATGAGGAAGCAAGAGAGTACTTTGCAACTCTGGAAAGTGAATTGGATATGCCATTGGATGATAAAATGACTATTTGGGAGCAATATTGTGGACAAAATAACATCACCATAGATAGATGGAAGTTTGGAACAAGAAAGCAAGAACCTACAGAATAGTTTCATCAATATTTTGTGATATGATCATTAAGCAAAACCTTTAACTAAGGTGCCTTAAGAGAAGAAATGATCAGGGCCAAATTGTGTTTGGAATAAAAGATAATAAACTATGCAGCAAGCTCTTAAAACAGAATAAGTCAATGCTACAAACAGCTTTACAGATTATAAGTGTAGAAGAAATGTCAAGAAGGTACATGAGAGAAATTGAGGAAGATATAGAAATAGATATTGAAATAGATAAACTACTCCAGGAAGAAGCTGGAATGACTTGGCAAAGGAATATGTGGTGCAATGAAGCTACAGGCCGATACGGAGACACTTATGTGAAATGTGAATTAGTACACCCTTTAAGTTGATGTCCAGCAGAATGGAAGGAATTCTATGTTTGCCAGAATAGACAACAAAAAGCTGAGTGGAACTATGGTAGAGGAACACCAGAAAGAACACTAGGGAGAAGGATGATGAGACAAAATGATTACAAAAGGACAAGCAAGTCTCAGATAATTAGGATAGACAAGGTGAGAACAAGGCAAGAGGAAGTGCTGGGGAGATTCAATATGGAATGAGCAGCTCAGAGGCAGAATCAACTAGTAATGGTCAGGAAGATTAGTACCTTATTGATGCGATGGTACTCGGAAAGAGAGAGAATATAGAAGAGGAAGAAGATGAGGATGAGGATGAGGAAGAATCAGATTTGGGCTCTGTGAAGCAGAAGCAGGAAGTCAGTGATCGAGAGGGAGACTACAAAGCCTTGGTAGTGCAGACCGAAGCCAGAGAGGTTACCTTCAATCTCGAGCAGTGACAGCAATGGAGAAAAGATCAATGACTGGAAAAAACATGACGAAGAGTGGAAAAAAGAGCTAAAGGAGACAAAAAAACAGCAGGAAAAGCAACTCAAAAAGGAAGATTTAGACATCGAAAGACAAAGCAACCACACTGAGGAAACAGAAAAATGTTGAAGAAAAGCACGAAGATTTTAAAAAGGAGATTACCATAGTAAAAAAGGATATAGAAGAGTATAAAAAGAATCTCACCCTCACAGATGCTAAATTTCCTAGGGATGAAACGGATCTTGTTCAAAAGAATTTGAACAAAAATGGGAGAGGATAAAGTCAATGAGAGTCCTTAAGTTTTGATTTCAGTGTATGATGAATGGATAAAACTGAAACAAGTTGAGTAAAGAACTTAAGAGCAAAGTTTGAAAAATGGGCAAGTTATCAGAAGGAAAATGCAGAAAAAGATAGAAGAAAGAACCAGAAAGAATCATGGAATAAGACTAGAGAAGAAAATGACGTAAAAAGCAATTAGGAAAGAGACAATGAAATAGAAGTAAGAAGTATAAAAGAATCCTGGGAAGGGAACCAGGGCGTGGGTTCACAGTTGGATTATTGGATTGTTGCGAGAGAATAAAGGAATTAGTTAATACACCAGTGTTGCGGATTGAAAATCATTACATCTATTATTATTATTTATTATTA